GGAACAGGCAAGAGTGCGACAGGAAACACAATTCTGAGACGGGACGTGTTTGAGTCTGAGGCCTCACCTGTGGGGGTTACAACACAATGCAGCAGTGGTTTTGTGCAGGAAGGAGGAAGAAGAGTCTATGTGGTTGATATGCCAGGGTTTTGTGGATCGCTGACTAAAGAAGACATGAAGACACACTTGGAGACTTGTGTTGAGCTGTCTGTTCCTGGTCCTCATGCGTTCCTGCTGGTCATCAATCTGGATGCGAGATTCACAGCGGAGGAGATGAACACAGTGAAACTGATTCAGCAGAACTTCGGAGAAGACGCTGTGCACCACACCATCATCCTGTTCACCAGAGCAGAGCAACTGAAAGGTAAATCTTTGCAGCAGTATATAGCAAGATGCCAGCATCTGAAGAGACTGACAGAAAGCTGTGGTGGAAGATATCATGCATTCAACAATAACGACATGAGGAACCGCTCTCAAGTCACCGAGCTTCTGGAGAAGATTGACAGAATGACCCAGGAAAATGGAGGAAGACATTACACTAACAAGATGTTTGAAGAAGCTCAAAAGAAGATTAAGAAAAAAGAGAAATTGAAAAAGCTACAAGATGCGGCATTAGCGGTTGGATCTGCTGTAGGAACGGGAGCAGCAGTAACAGGAGGTGTCATCCTGGGAATAACAGAAGTAGCTGTTGCTGGTCCTGCTGTTTTAATCGGAGCTGGAGTTGCAGCTGGAGTGGGAATGGGTGTGAAACTGGTCGTGAACAAAGTCCAGCAAAACAAAAAGGACAAAAATTAGCCTAAAAATAGCAAAACTCTTTTCAGAACATAAATTCTCAGATTTGTCTAACGTCATCTGAAATGTTTTAATATAAGCATGTCCTCAACATAAATGTGAAATGAAAATGATATTTTCCAGCTATTGTTTCCAGCTTCTTTTAATTCTTTAAAGCATGTGAAGAAATTACTTTGCTTACTTTGTTTTTGTAGTTGATGACTCTAGAAAGACTCTAGTATGTGTCAAAAAAATAATGAATGAAGTGTAACCAAAACATGAAATTGATTATTAAAAAATTTGCTATTTTGATTAGACATGCATGTGATCAGTGTGAAAGTGCATGGATGCTGATGTTTTTCTGCTAAAATAAAACAGAACACATTTCTGAATTACAGCAGGATGTGATGGATTTATTTAACTGAAAGACATTCAGGTACAAACCTTTATGCCATACTTCTACAATCAAACACATAGTATGCACATGCAAATGCAGTGTTCAAAAGAACAAAAAAAAACTAAAGTCAGAGAGCTAGATGCTTCCGGTGTATTTGCACCCACTGTAAAACAGGAAGTTATGCTTAATGTGTCTCAGACACAAATAAAACTCAATCGCCTTATAACTGGCGTGCCCAACCCCGTTCCTGGAGATCTACCATCCTGCAGACTTCAGTTCCAGCCCTGCTCCAACACAGCTGTCTGTAATTGGGCAGCCCTGCCTTATAACATACAAATTAATCCTGTGAGGAAAGCCGACAGCACTAGTTGGAGGCTTACTCAAGATTTGCACGCGACCATTTCTTTAATTGTACCTCTAGCACCTGTGGTGTCTGATGTACCAACTATTATGCATTCAGTTCCATGCCATCACAAATTTAAACTATGAATATATTACCCTAGAAAGTGCTGCCCTACCACAATTTCTGATTGCCCCCCCAGTCCAGCGAGCCAAATCAGCTGCCAGGCCACTGGGAATTCTCCCGGTGCTCCCAATAGCCAGTCCGGGCCTGCTCGTTTTTTGGGGGTCGACATCTTATAAAAACATAGTTCTTGGTTTTTTAGCTTGTTTACTGTACACCTTGTCACATAGCAGCTTTTAGACATTGTTCTGTTTTTTTGAGGCAGCTTCCCGCTATACAAAGTCAATGGAAAGGGTTGGATTGTTCCCCTAGTTAAATAGTTAAATCTGCTAAACAGTTATATTTAGCTGATTCTGGCAAATATAGTAGGTCAGGGATAAGCTATTCACTGTTCACTGTTCATGTACCACACTGAAAATTTAATTAATTTACACTTAACCAGTTTAATATGGAGAGGCACTGAAATGTAGACCTTCGTTTATGTGTTATGTTTTTGCCCTACACCAGTGGTCTCAAACTCAATTCCTGGAGGGCCACAGCTCTGCAGAGTTTAGCTCCAAATCACACCTGCTTGGAAGTTTATAGTGATCCCAAAGACCTTGATTAGCTGGATCAGGTGTGTTTTATTAGGGCTGGAGCTAAACTGTGCAGAGCTGTGGCCCTCCAGGAATTTAGTTTTGAGACCAATGCCCTACACTGTACATGATGTGAGAACAGTTTAGGTTTGTATGTTAGCATGGACTACTACTCTATTTTTAAATAGATAGGTTAAACGGAAAGCTTCTCACTCTTCGTCCCACATATAAAATGTGAGGAAAACAGATTGATGCCAAATATGACACAATCAAATTGCAAACGAGAATAAATTCAATTTCTCTTACAGACAGGAAGAAAAATAAAAGTTTCTTACCTGTCTTTTTGAGAAATTCCCGGAAAGGACGAGCCCTCATTTGTTAATAAAATAACAGTTTGGTCCCTCGATATCTCTTTGCCACCGTGAAATCTTCTCAGTCTCTCCAAGTGTATAAATACGGCCGGGAAGTAAGAAAACACACATTCAAATGGTATTCTCAAATACTTCAATTTATTCACAGAAATACAGATCTTATATAGGCATGTCGAGGGGAGTTTTTACCCTCTTAACCAATGAGGATAGGGGGACATACCCATACAGGATGTTTTTCCCAAGAACATGTGTTTTGTATAAAATTGCCACATATACAGAAAAACATATCCATATAAGGAATAGACTTCCTGGCGACGGAGGCTGAACCCCCCTTATAAATCAGCACAAACTCCTTTACCTTGAATATTGAGTAAGAGACATTCAAACACCATACAAGAGAGAGAGAGAGCAGATAGAGGAGGGGTGATTCAGAGAAGGAGAGAGAAAGAGTGAGAAAGGAGGGGTAAGGCATTCTCAAAACAGAGAGTGTTTTCTAACAGTGGCATATACACATTATCAAACCGATGAGAGCTTACGATTTTCCAATGTTTCTCTATGGCGCTGAAACCTAAAGATGTCCGAGTTCCGCTCCCCGTGCAACTAATACTCGACTGCCATTGGCTTATGTTCGAAGGGAGGCACTGAGCACAAAAACAGCTCCTTTAATTTTTTTCTTTAGTTGGAAGATGGAACTATGAACAAATTAATGGGATAGTTCACCCAAAATGAAAATTATGTCATTAATTACTCACCCTGTTGTCGTTTCACACCCGTAACCTTCGTTCCTCTTCCGAACACAAATGAAGATCTTTTTGATGAAATCCAAGAGCTTTCCAAGGCAGCAAAACAACTTACACATTCAAAGCCCAGAATGGTAGAAAAGAAATCGTTAAAGTACTCCATGTGACTCCAGTGGTTTAACCTCAGTTTTATTATGTGAAGTGAGTGCTTTGTTTGCATTAACATTTTTGGTAACACTTTACTTGAAGGGGTGTGCATAAGACTGACATGACACCTTCATAATCATGACATGACACATGTCATGAATATGAAGGTTTTATGCATGTTTATGACAACTGTCATTAAGTGTCATTCGCTCAGTTATGTCATTTTTAATGCAAATATGACATTTACCTAATTGACCTTACCCTAACCTAACCCTACCCCTACCCTTACCCCTAACCATAGCCCATAACAAATACATCTCAAACAATGTCATCTTTGCATTAAAAATGACATAACTGAGCGAATGACACTTAATGACAGTTGTCATAAACATGCATAAAAACCCTTCATATTCATGACATGTGTCATGTCTTGATTATGTAGGTGTCATGTCATGATTATGAAGGTGTCATATCAGTCTTATGCACACCCCTTCAAGTAAAGTGTAACCACATTTTTTTACTGCATTTATGAAAATTATCTGCATTGTGCGCTCACGAGAGCATGACAACGCATTTGTGTTGTGTTCACACGTTAGAAGACTTGAATGTCAACACAACGCACCTGAGTGAGTGTTCACTAGAGTACAAAAATCATCAGAAATATCTTCATTTGTGTCCCGAAGATGAACGAAGGTCTTATGGGTTTGGAACGACGTGAGGATGAGTAATTAATGACAGAATTTTCATTTTGGGTTGAACTATCCCTTTAAGATGCCACCTATGGATCCAAGAGGATGTCATATGATTCACTTGCATCTAGCCAAAAACTGTGATATGCTATTGTTGTCAGTACTATTAACACTGGTGAAGACAGATATTGTATTATTTGAGAATAAAATGACCTACTTGATTAAGTATTTTAAGTGGGAACACAGCCAGCTATGATGTGGATTAGAGTAGGAAATCAGATTACTATTATACCTACCAAAATGTCTATGATATTGATGCAATTTGTAAAAGTTTACCACCATCATTAAACCCAGTCAAATTTGTAGATGTGTTGAAGACACACACACGGTATGCACAGTTAACAGTTATCTTGCTTAGAGTGCTGGGTGATAATGTGACAGAAAACATATTGATTGAGGAACGCCCTGCACTCTCCACTGATAATGATGTGGTTACTGGTGGAGCGGTAGCTGCTAATTCTAATGCACATTTCTGGACTTCAGTTGATAATATTAACACCTTTTATAATCAGTTAAAAACCTTCCTTGAAGGGAGGGTAGCAACCATATAAGATATTTCACACACAAGCAACACAAAGCAAAGAAGTGAGTTGCCTTCTACCTTTGTCACCAGATTCAAAAATGCATGGGGAAATGATTCCAAAATTGCCTACAGATGATACTACCAAAGTCCTATTCATTAATATTGTCTGAATAACATGAAACCGCAATATGCTCAACTTATCAGATTTACTACTTCTGGTCTTATGGAGAAAACAGTAGATCAGTTATGTAAAAGAGTCAGAGAGCTAGATGCTTCCGGTGTATTTGCACCTACTGTAAAACAGGACGTTGTGCTTAATGTGCCTCAGACACAAATAACACAAGTGGCGCAAGAACCAAGATAAAAAAATGAGTGAAAACGGTACGTAATTTATTATTTCAAATGACTTTTTTAGAAGTTATGTAATGAGTGTGAACGTTAAACTTTTTTTCCCCCACAGAGTCATTACTACAAAATGATTACACCGGAGTGTCATTCCATTCAAATTTCTTATTCCGTAAGTACATTATTAAATATGTCACAGTCATGTTGCCATTGTACAATACAATATTTACAACAATATATGCACTCTGTACAGCACTTTATAAGTTTTATTAGGATGTGGACTGGCTATTAATAAATGATTCACTGAATAGCTCAAGATTGGAATACTTTTTCTGGATGAATTATAGAGAAAACTAATTGGGGCATATTCACTAAACAGCCATTTTTTGAGTGTAACCTGACTAATTTCACAGATTATGTGACCATAAATGCATTAAAGTGTAACTGGATCAGTTACATTCTGCCTATTTTTAGTCCAGACCTATTAATTTATATTTAAAAGTTAATTTAGTAGACATATCAGTGAATCTCCTGATCTACATAATTCCTGAAGCGAATCAACATAAACAAGGTAATAAACGGTGCAGTTTATTCTTAGTGAATTTGCCCCATTGTCATCTGGCTGATTTCATTTGTATTTTAAAACAACACTTATTGCTTTATTTATTATTTTTTCACAGGTATTCTACCTGTATTTTAAATCACACATTTCATTGTGTTGTGTTTTAGGGTAATAAAGGAAATGTCTGTAAACTTAACAGAAAAAGATATTTACCATATTTATGTCAAGTTTCAGGACTCCTGTTAGGAAACAAATGCTGTTTGAATTATATTTCTTGATTTGCAGAGACCAATGGCATAAGGATTATTCTGGTGGGGAAGACTGGAACAGGCAAGAGTGCGACAGGAAACACAATTCTGAGACCGGACGTGTTTGAGTCTGAGGCCTCACCTGTCGGGGTTACAACACAATGCAGCAGTGGTTTTGTGCAGGAAGGAGGAAGAAGAGTCTATGTGGTTGATATGCCAGGGTTTTGTGGATCGCTGACTAAAGAAGACATGAAGACACACTTGGAGACTTGTGTTGAGCTGTCTGTTCCTGGTCCTCATGCGTTCCTGCTGGTCATCAATCTGGATGCGAGATTCACAGCGGAGGAGATGAACACAGTGAAACTGATTCAGCAGAACTTCGGAGAAGACGCTGTGCACCACACCATCATCCTGTTCACCAGAGCAGAGCAACTGAAAGGTAAATCTTTGCAGCAGTATATAGCAAAATGCCAGCATCTGAAGAGACTGACAGAAAGCTGTGGTGGAAGATATCATGCATTCAACAATAACGACATTAGGAACCGCTCTCAAGTCACCGAGCTTCTGGAGAAGATTGACAGAATGACCCAGGAAAATGGAGGAAGACATTACACTAACAAGATGTTTGAAGAAGCTCAAAAGAAGATTAAGAAAAAAAAGAAAATGAAAAAGCTACAAAATGCGGCATTAGCAGTTGGATCTGCTGTAGGAACGGGAGCAGCAGTAACAGGAGGTGTCATCCTGGGAATAACAGTAGGAGCTGTTGCTGGTCCTGCTGTTTTAATCGGAGCTGGAGCTGCAGCTGCAGTGGGAATGGCTGTGAAACTGGTCATGAACAAAGTCAAACAAAACAAAAAGGACAAAAATTTGCCTAAAAATAGCAAAACTCTTTTCAGAACATAAATATTCAGATTTGTTTTACGTCATCTGAAATGTTTTAAAGGGGTCATATGATGCGATTTCAATTTTTTTTAACTTTCTCTTTGGAGTGTTACAAGCTCTTGGTGCATAAAGATTATCTGTAAAGTTACAAAGACTAAAGTCTCAAATCCAAAGAAATGTTCTTTATAAAAGTTAAGAGTCAACCACGCCTACCTAAAACGCCTCGTTCTAACACACCCCCACATTTCTACGTCACTATGTGGGAAGATTTGCATAATGCCGCCCAAATGTTCACGCAAAGAAAGAAGGCGTAACTTTTATTCTCGCTGCCGCCGCTGCCATGTCGTGAAGGCGCTGTGTGATTTGTTGTGAAAGCGAAACTACTTTGTTTGGCCTTCCAAAATAGGACGATATCCACTTCGTCATGCCTGGAGCTGATCCGTGTTGGTCGCTGAGGAAATACATCAACTTCGCACTGTCGATCGCCGGATCGGCTTTCACCGTGGATGAAGCAGAGTCCAGCCCGGAGTCGTCACATGTGGTTGCCGCAAGCCCGCCCGCTGCCGCTCACTCAAGCCGACCTCGAGGCCGCGGCTCACTCTAGGCCTCCGGCCTCCGCTCACTCTAGCCCACCGTGTGTGACGCTGTGTTTCGTTGTGAAAGCGAAACTACTTTGTTTGGTCTTCCAAAAGAGGACACAACTAGAAATCAGTGGTTAAGTTGTATTTACAACACTGTTCCAGAACAGTTCAACCCAAATATTCAGATGTGTGCAGCGCATTTTATGGAGGACTGTTTCCTGATCCTGGGAGAGTAGACTACAATGCCGGCTGTTCTGACTCACAGACTGTAAGTAAGTTTTTTATATTTAAAGAATTTGCCACTGACGATTCAAACGTGAGTTTTGAGCAGTGTAGAGTAGCGTTTGTAGTTTGTCATTTCTCCAATCACAAATGCAGACATGGGTTTATGTTTACGCGGCGGGATGCAATGCAACGCATAAGTCATTATAATCCCCAATTATAATTAATAATTATGTCCCCAATGGATGCAACAAATGCCTCGTTTATAATGGGTTTGAATGTTTTTGTCTCATCGCTCTGGCCGGGACAAGGCATCACAATATGGTAGGGGCGTAACATTTTCGTCACACGCTTGAGGTATTCGGCCAATCACAACGCACTGGATAGCTGGCCAATCAGAGCACACCTCGCTTTTCAGACTGATGAGCTTTGTAAAAATCGACGCATTTCAGAAAGGCGGGGCATAGAGGAGAAACAATAATGTACAGTATGTGGAAAATAATGTGTTTTTTAACGTTAAACTGCATAAACACATTTCATTACACCAAATACACAAAATAATGTTCTTTTTAGCAACATCATATGACCCCTTTAATATAAGCATGTACTCAACATAAATGTGAAATGAAAATGATCTTTTCCAGCTATTGTTTCCAGCTTCTTTTAATTCTTTAAAGCATTTAAAGAAATTACTTTGCTTACTTTGTTTTTGTAGTTTATGACTCTAGAAAGACTCTAGTATGTGTCAAAAAAATTATGAATTAAATGTAACCAAAACATGAAATTGATTATTAAAACATTTGCTATTTTGATTAGACATGCATGTGATCAGTGTGAAAGTGCATGGATGCTGATGTTTTTCTGCTAAAATAAAACAGAACACATTTCTGAATTACAGCAGGATGTGATGGATTTATTTAACTGAAAGACATTTAGGTACAAACCTTTATGCCATACTTCTACAATCAAACACATAGTATGCACATGCAGTGTTCAAAAGAACAACAACAAAAAAATCTAAAAGTCTCAGAGAGCTAGATGCTTCCAGTGTATTTGCACCCACTGTAAAACAGGAAGTTATGCTTAATGTGTCTCAGACACAAATAAAACTCAATCGCCTTATAACTGGCATGCCCAACCCCGTTCCTGGAGATCTACCATCCTGCAGACTTCAGTTCCAGCCCTGCTCCAACACAGCTGTCTGTAATTATCAAGTGCTGCCTAAGAGATTAATTAGCCAGTTCAGGTGTGTTTGATCAGGGTTGGAGCTGAACTTTGCAGGACCTTTTACCTTTGCCACCAGATTAAAAAATGCATGGGAAAATGATTCCAATTGCCTACAGATGATACTACCAACATCTTATTCATTAAAATTGTCTGAATAACATGAAACCGCAATATGCTCAATTTATCAGATGTAGCGTCCGGACCAACCAAACACACAATACATATTTTGTTAGCTATATTTAACAAATACTCTGTAACACCCCTCAGTTAACAAGCCATATGAGGACCTATGGGCCCTTCCCCCGAAATGTGTAACACCTCAGGAGGGTAGAACAGGCCTCTGGTTCCATGGCAACCAACGCTGATACCACTGGTTTTATTGCCAAAGGAATGCAAGCAGAGAAAACTCACACCTCATTTGCCCTTAGGAAAATCACTGCCTTTTCCATAGGAAAGTGCACAGTAGAAATGGACTCTTTTCTAATTAATCCATTGAATAAACACACATATCCTTCAGGTCATTGTGTATGTTGTCTTTGAGATTTTATACTGTTTTATGCAGGCTTATGATGGAAACACTCATTCCTGTCATCTTACATATATGTAATCCTACCATGTCTAGTATATATGAATTAGTCTTCTGATGATCTAAACGAGAGTGTATATTATATGTTGGTAAATAGGCAATATATTAGTGTCCTGAGAATCTTTAGTAATTTCGATTCAAGTTCCATTTGCAAATTACCATGCTTTCACACAAAGAGTCATAAAACTCCCCAGTATGTCCAACCTCCCGCTTGGGACGTCAGCCTTTCTCATTGGACAAGCCCATCTTGAGAGGCGTGAATCTTCTGAGACATTAAAGGCCCCACATCAGGGACCCGCCCAGGGTCGGTGGTTCGGTTAGATTCTAAGATGAAGACATGAGCTAGAACGCTCCAGGACACCCTAAGTTTGTGCCAGGCCTTCGGCCTCGACTTTTCCATTCACCAAGATTCTTTGACTCAAACTGGTTCTTTTTCATCAACCAACTTCAGCAAAGATCAACTTGAACCTTTGGACTGCCTCAAGCCTTTCTTTCAGACAGACGAGACATGCAAGTATCAAACTTAGTTTTATTAATTGATACATTAGGTATCATTTGCACCTTTTTACAAAGGTGTGTTTGAACTAAGAATCTGATGTTTCCTTCAGGCTGTAAATCTGCTGAATATGCAAATGGTTCCATAACTTCATATTCTTATTTTCTCTCCTCTTTACTGAGTTAAGCTTTAACCCTTTCCTATACCAACTGTATGTGTGTGTGTATGTGTATGTTAGACCAGTTTAAGTGTTTATGTAGTATGTTAGACTAGTTTAAGTGTTTATGTAGTTAATAAAGTCTTACTTGTATCACACTTGACATTGTTCAT